GATTTGTGTTAACATATATAAGTATAATGAAATGAATTTATGAAGGTAAATATAAACGTAGTAGAAATAGTAATAGTATCAGTGATAGTAGAATAAACATAACAGCGAAGATAAAACGTGAAAGGATCAGAAAGATTTTGATTGAATCTAAAATATGATGTCTAATGTCACCAACAATTGATCATAATAATCTCAAAGACCGCCATCAGGTAGTCTGCACTTAATTATATAGCTTATTTCGGTTATTAGAGACGTTATGAAATGATGATATGTTTTGATGTGGCTACTCCTAGTTTTCTTACTTTTACGCAAACATGTAACACACATATATAAAAGCGTTTGTCAGGAATACGTAATATATATCCCAACAATCTGGGTTGATAAATATTGACTATGTAAACTACCAATTTCCTTTTACCGTTAGAAAACTGACTTAAAATACGATGGTTTCCATTTACAACTTCAATCCGTTTATTTCACCAAATATACATATTATAACCATAAAGAGGTGATGTCGATATTATAGTAATTTAATAGTTGAATTCATAAGTCAGTTAAAGCTTCACCACCATAGAAAACCAAAAATCACTGGACTGTTGTTTTATCCTATTATGGGACTTCTCAGCAGTGCGCATTCGCAATCCCGCCCCACAAGATTATAACTCAGAACCTATCGGTCTCGTGAGCGAATACTTAACCTATAAACCACTGAGCCTGCATCCAACAATGTTAATGCCTAAATTCAACCAATCCACGAAATTGCACCACCGTCCACCATTGTCTTCGGTGAGTTACTATCTCATAACAAACCCGGTTGATTTTCACTGTTCACGGCTTCTCACTAGAAATCCATGAAAATACATCTTGGAAACAGTCAATAGGACGAAACGGCTGTTCAGTGCTTCCAGGTTTCCCATGATTATTTAACTTTAATCAACTCATGGATTCAACTATTAGAAATTGTACTCACATGTTAGTTTTCTCGATGTAGTAAATTATTAATCATCTAAAAGATCATTGTCTATCTGAAAATACAACAGATATTTTCATTAACACAAGGAGTGAACGTATTTTTGTTGTGATATCTATCAGTATTCATAACTCTCTCAGAAATGATTTACTTACTTGAAAGCTACTGTCTCCTTTGATTTGAGTACTCGATTAACAATAACCAACATTCAACGAACTTACTGATATTCTTTCTATGCTACTGCACAAAATGTATTTAGTTCATAAAATATCTAATTTTCTCAACTTCAGTTTCTATATCTTTTAATCATTATAATATAGAATGCTTTAAATCTATTAAAATGAAACGTATGTTATGGATATACAATCCACTAGCTAGTCAGTTTGTCTTAATTAACTCACACTCTGGTAAAGATGTAAGTTAACTCACATAGCTGTATCACAACACAATGATAAAATGAATAGAAATATTCAGTAGGAATGCTAATGAGCAAAACGAAATATTGAGAATATTGTTTAAAAAAACAAAGGGTAAAGGGTAATATATGGGAATACTGGAATTTAAGATCGATAGGAAGATAAAAAGTGAATACACTTACACAGTTACGAACGGTTCTGAACCATTTCATTTAAAACCTTCAAAACTTGATTCACTTATGAAACTAACCACATCCAAGTAGTATAGATCCACTAACATGATACAGATTAACATTCAACAAGTTTATAGACTTATGAATATCATGAATTCATCAACTCCAGATTTATTTTAATGTACCTTTATATCAAATAACTTCATTAATCCTCAAATTTGACTTCCCATTGAGTTCAATATTTGAAAGTAGATAATCATGTTAGCTCATAGTATTTTCACTTAATAATCTATAAGCTTAACATTATTTCAATCCTTGTTTCTAATTTAAGAAAATACGATATTTTTTCGTTTATTCGATTTATATTACTTAATAAAATTGTATATATATTAAGTAATTCTTCCTGTATTACTTCAATTCAATTATATAACAGATTACTACTAACAAAATTATTAGTAGTATCTATTTTACTATTTAAATTAAGAAATGTTATTTTGAATAACTTTGACTGAATTATATTGTAATGTTAGCATTTTCATTATATATATAAATATATATATTCTTTTTAGAAGTTTATTTGAGTGAAGTAGGGAACAATGTTTATACCTCTTCATTATCAATGCCATTATTATGATTATGATTATGATTACCATTACAGTTATTACCATTAGTGTTCTAGTTTGGTTTGAATACCTTGTAATACAAAGAAATGTAAACTTTACATTTGAAAGTTATTTATATATTTTTTTGTTTCCACAAAAATGGCTTTTTATGTGTATTATCATTTATTTATCGGTTAAATTTATTTATAAATTTCAAATGTATAAATGGTCATAAATCGATTTAGTTATATACATAGATACATATGTCAGTATCTATGCACGTGTGTGTGTGTGTTTGTGTTCTTACTGATTACGCAACTAGGATAATCAGTAAAAACAAGAGAAAAAGAAGGAAAAAAGTATTCTGATGAGGGCAGTATTATGAATATTAGTGATTTGATTAATGGAAGGTAAATAAACATTAAAAATATATCATGTCCAATATGGGTTTATAGCTGCATAAAAGGAGAAAGGTTATAAACTTTTGGGAAGAAATTAAAGTCAAATAATGCAAAGCTCCAATTCATGCTGTCAAAATATGTTGAGAGCATTATGTACTTGAAGGAAATGAAGGGGGTATTTAAGGTAGCGTGAGAATACTAAAGGTAACGATTACATTACAACTTGGTCGATTATATCTCCTAGTATTTGACAAGACGGCAGTGATTTCTGTTGGATGACCAATTAACAAATACAGGTAGACAATTAAATGGTGATAAGCCTAAAAGTATAGTGGATGGTCAGTTTTTATTGAGAGTAGTTGTTAATTGATTCATTTGTATTGTTTATATGCATCTTCTCATTGATATTTAGCACTGTAATCGGTTATTCTGTGTTGGCATGTGTAAGGATTACTTCAATATTGCCGTTAAGTCACAAACTTTAGTAAAACATTCGGATAGTGACTAAGTGAAGAACTTGATGGTATTTGAAGCAAACGGTATTGAGTTCAAATTCATAAATGAACATCAACTCTCAGATGCCGATTCATCCACCCGACGAGTCCATAAAAAGAAGAAACACGTTTTCTGGACTCCACTGCTAATCATCAACCAACTCTGCTTATGATAGTTGTTAATAAATGTTTGTAAGGGCTTATAATAGTTATTATTATAAACATGTAGCCCGTTACCGATGGTTTATCTCAATATTTGCTACACACTGAATCAAATCTATTTAACTACTCCCTTTATCTGTAACTGTACAATTTTCATCTGATAAAATGTACAGATAGTTGACGAAAATGAAGAACGACCCAGTTAAACCATTAAATTCAAAGAATGTAACAACTCTAAAGTATTCACCTGAAATAAAGATTCTAATTATCATTCTCAATAAGAATGTTTTATTAAGTAGTCAATTTATATATGGCTTTACAACTATAGCTTAAAAACCTAGTGACTTAAGGCTATATCAAGACATTCCGCATAGGATGCACATATGACAAGAAGAGACTGATCAATTGCAATCCTAAACAACAAGGGGAAGATACAACTAAAGCAACACCAATTGACATTCTACTCTGCTGGTTGTAATAAAGTAAGTATTTCAACTTAAATTAACTAAGTGTTCATAAATGTAATCGACAGTTAATATTTTCTTTCATATAAGAAGAACATAAAGATGAAGAAAAATAAACATTTGTTATCCTATCGTCAATATTAAGAATTAACATCCTTACAGATAGATCAGATTTGACGTCCATTTCAAAGAGAACGATTTTTCATATGACTACGGCTTTAAAAAAATCTCAGTGTTCACTGAAGAACTATGTTGTACAACACTATAACACCTGGGTTGAGATTGTTTCTATGATTCGTCCCAAATAACTGTCAAGTAATATAGGAAAAGGTTATCCATCATCTCCTTTCATCTCCTTAGTGAGATTGATTTGTTTTGGTAAACATGTAAATGTTATCTCATTTTACACGCCAATTATAAACTCTGGGTGTGTGAACATATAAGCGTAGTGACGAGTAATCGTAGGTTGCAAATAGAGATGATTAGATATATTAGAGGATAAACTATAATCATCACTGTGATAACAGTCAAGTCAATTTTGTTTCTATTTGAGAAACTGACTAGTTTACACATACCAAAACCTTTGATTTTCTAGGTTCACATGAAGGACTAAATTTAGTCAGACAACCATTAAAATCTGGGTAGCACTAGATAGCTACATTGTTCTACTATGGAATTTCTCAGCAGTATACATAAGTGACGTCGCCAGGAACCAAACACACCCCCATTAAGTCTCGAGGTGAGTACTCAAACTTTAGACTACTGAGTTAAGATATGTCTAACCTTAATCCATTCGCGTAGTTGTAAAGTGGTCATTTTTTTTACCTTTAGTGGTGTCTGTCGCATAACCGACATAGTCATAGCTTCTCATTGAAACTTCTGAGATTATCTACTGAAATAAGTTAATAGTAGACAGAAAATGGTGCTTGAAAATGAGCGACACGTATAAACACCAACAAACCAATGAATACATAAAAATGAGGTAGAAATTTATAAAAAAAAATACAAAGAAATAAATGGTGAGCAACTAAATGTTGCTCAGTTAGTTACTATTTTTTTTACAATGACAGAATTACAATTTTCAATCTAAAATATACATCGATCAAAATATGACATGGATTACTTAAAAGAATGGAAAAACCTTTTAAACACGCATATAATTACATACATTCGCCACATCATACTCACTTACACATACAAACATCAAAGATGACACTGAACATAAAAAAACAAACAACTTTGCAACAAAAAGCGAAAACACCAAAGGTAATAATAACCGTAATACACACACAATGTACTAACACCAGCAAACACTTACCACAAGACCTCTTGATTTTATATGTGCTGTACGATTCGGTTCATATATCAATGATGATGTATCATTTGTACGAAGCATGCGAGTTACCATCAAAGTGGATAGACCCTCAAATAATAACAGTAATAATAATAATAATGATAATAATAAGAGTAATTGGCTTATAAGTTTGGAAATAACTTCGTTACATATAAAAATGACAGCAAAAAAGTATAGATGCATAATATTGTTACAACCGTTTACGAACTATTCAAAATTAAACATTATAGCAGTAGTGAACGAAAAATTTAATGTAATAAATGCAAGATGTACAAATACCTAACTAGTAAATAGAAATGAAAGGTTGATCACCCGCTTCAGCTGACGATCACTCAACCTGACCTTGAAAATCAGCCATTCAGAGTACGAGATTAATTATGTCTCATTCGGCAATGCATGAACTGTTCAAAATTTAATAATGGAGGTTTAAATAATTCTTTTATTTGTAAGATTAAGATCAACATTGCATTTCTCATCATTATAAAACCGCTCTACTGTATTGACAGGAGTTATCGTAATTTATGGAAGTTGACTTAAAACTAATGAAATTCGTAGACAACCTATCACCGGTTATCGTTGTTTGTCAGTAAGAAATATGTATAACCAGAATTATCGTTTCAAAATTACTTCATTACTACATCTTTTGATGTATTATTTGATAAAGTGGTATAACAAGAAAAGATGCAGAGTAAGTACGAAAAATACAATTTGAGGTAGAGCGTAGACATACAATTTTAGCTTAGAATAATGTAATATCTTAATCATATCGGAGACGACGCATTTTACATAATGACTTGGATTGCTACTTATAAGATTTAGTATCAGAAGGGGTTTTTGTGGATATTGTAGTAATTTTAATAGTTGCGATCATGAGTCAGTTGAAGCTAGACCACCATGGAAAATATAGGAGCACTGGACGGTCGTTTTGTCTCATTGTAGGACCCCTTAGCACGATCCCACCTCGCGAGATTCGAACCTAGAACCTATCGGTATCACACGCGAGCGCCTAACTTCTAGACCACTCAACCAGCATCCAGTGGTGTTAAGGTCTAACTTCAACTAATTCATAAAATTCAGCGACACATCCACAATCGTCTTCAGTGGGTTACTATCTCACCCGGTTGAACTCCATTAGTCAGCAAATTGAATATTAGTCTGCAGTAAGGGATAACACTTTTTAATTGAGCTTACCGATGAACATACGGAAGATAATTCAATTACAAATTTGATTAGGGAGTTATTTAAATAAAGTTAAATCGTTAACCTGATGTTTATAGACATACCGAATAACTCAACTTCAGTTGTGTTTGATCAAGGACATTTTTAAATGATAAATTTATGCTAAACACTTAATTACAAATCACAGAAGCTTGGATTGTTCATTATTTACCGAGTTTTGTATACAAACAAGGGCCATATCATTATGGACAACAACCAATTAAATTTTAAGTTTACAGAACAGGTTATTAGTCACTGAGATAAATTCGAAAGGTTTAAATTCTTTTCAAAGATTGCAATAATCATGTTGTCTAGAGTGATAAGGAAAGCTTCATACAAACAGACAATTCAACTCAGGTGATACAATCCCTTTAAAAGAATGTACTCCCATCGATATAATTATAAAGGTCATATTGATAGCTTATCATTATTCGCTATTTTAGAATTCTCACTCTTTTCTAATCTTATTACAACATGTTTTTAATAATAGTTTTAGGCTGTACAAAATAACAATTTTGAAGAAGTCTGTTTAAGCAGTAAACACAATGATAGTGACACTGATGATTGGTAACAAAAAATCGGTTACGTTCAATGTCATTTGTCTGTAGGTAATCTAATAGGACATCCTGTACAACCTGGATGACATATGTTCTGTTACTTGTCAATACAAGCTTAATATTTTAATAAATATAACAGTATTGACTAATTACCAGTGGAGTACAACCAGGTCTGTTGTGAGATATCAGCTCACTGAAGACATTGGTGTTCGATGGCGCAACTTCGTGGATTGGTTGAAGTTAGACATTAACACCGTTGGATGCCGGCTCAGTGGTCTAATGGTTAAGTGCTCGCGCGCGAAGCCAGTAGGTCCTGGGTTCGAATCCCGCAGGGAGCGGGTTCGTGGATGCGCACTGCTGAGGAGTCCCATACTAGGACGAAACGGCCGTCCAGTGCTTCCAGGTTTTCAGTGGTGGTCTAGCTTCAACTGACTCATGATTTCAATCTGTGAAAATATAACAGTATTGACTAATTATATAACATAATTTACACATAAAAAAATAATACAAATTACTCAAAGTGAACACTCGATCTATTCACGATGAATAACGAATAAATGTCTGTCAATTAGTCAGTCAGCTACAACGTATGACTAGGCACATACATGCATCAATTCAAGTTGCCATAACTCAGCAGAACTAGATGAACACCAAATTGATACAAGTAGTTAATTCAATGGTGGCAATATATAAAAGAAAAATTGTATATAAGGATATAGTACAGAAACGAAGAATTAGTTCATAGAAAGAAAGATATGGAGCGATTTTAATCTCATAGTTTAAGGGAAGATAGAAAGTGTATACACCGACGCCATTGTGATCGATTCTGAGCCATATCACCAAGAGTTTCCAACCATTGATTACGATAGTCACGTGGACCTCAACCAAGTAGTCTGCATCTACCAACATGGCTAAGACTAGAAGTTAGTGCCACAAATAAATGTAGATTAATATATGTCTAGTTTCTTAATCAGAGTTTATAAATTTAAAAAAATATTTTTACAATAAGTAGAAATACATAAAGTATAAAGTTGTTTCTTTATTATCTTAAATGTAAAGTATCTATATGTTTACTTAATATTGGAACTTCAGAAAAAAAGTGAATGGATAGTCAAAAAGAAAAAAAGATGGGTGACAGTAAAATGTAAAAGAAAACAGTCTGAAACGATATATACACATATATGTATACCAATGTGGGTAGGAAGTGACATCTAAGGCATTTTTGTACAAAAGTTATATATATACATAGAAAGGGACTAACTGTAAAGAGATTGTGATGGAGTAATCTTTGTCTTATTTCTTTTTATTAAAAGAAATCATACAGTAATATTATAAATAAGTCACACAATGTTTGATAAACGGAATACAAACGGAATTTTAAAAAAAAATTCCAAGGACCCTTCGACAGTAAAGGAACTTAATGAGTTTCTGCGTTATTCTGACAAAATATTTGTTCATTAAAAAAAAACCTATAGAGATTCAACAAACAATAAAAAGTAAAAACAAGAAACACACACACATATATACATACATACATTCATGTACGGACAAATAAGCCTAGTTAGTTACTCAGTAAAGCTTAAACGAGTCATATTAAGGAATAGCGAAAAGAAACTATTTTTTAACAAAGACACATTTGAATTTGATAAAAATTAACCGAAAAAAAAGTGTCAGAGAGAGAAAAAGAGAGGGGGTGAGAGAAAGAAGAAAAAGAATACACGAGAAAATCAGTAATATATTAGATTGTCACTAAAAAATGTTTTTCTGTTTTACCATTATCTAATTACATATTAATATTGACTGTGTTTATTTTTTGTCAGTATTTTCAATATGAGTAAAATATTTATGGAAATACAACTAGGATTTCTTGAATAAGCATCATTTTAGATGAGAATGAATAAATGCTTATTGTAAAATCTTTTGATCATTCATCCATTTATTATCAGTGAGGGGTTTTATGGATATTATAGTAAGTTAATAGTTCAACTCATGAATCAAATGAAGCTAGATAACCATGGAAAACCTAGAAGCAGTGGACGGCCGTTTCGTCCTACTGCGGGACACTACAGTAGTGCGCATTCACGATCCCACCTCACGAGATTTTAACCCATAACCTATCAGTCTCGCGTGTGAACGCTTAACGTCTAGACCACTGAGTTGGCCGGCATCCGACGGTGTTATTGTCTATTCTCAACCAATTCACGAAATTGTATCACCGTCTACTATAGTCTTCACTGAGTTATTATCTCACAACAGACCCGATTGAGATTCACTGGTCACTGCTTCTCAGTTGAACTCCAGGAAATACCTCTTGAAGCTATTCACTAGTGAGCATATGATGATTATAAGCGCTCGCTCTTGAGAACGATAGGTCCTGGGTTCGAATCCCGCAAGGCAGGATCGTGCATGTGATCTACCGAAGAGTCTCATACTATGATGAAACAGTCGTCCACTGCTCCCAGGTTTTCCATAGTGGTCTAGCTTCAATTGGCTTGTGAATTCAACTATTAAAATTACTATAATATCCATAAAATCCCTCTCTGTTTATAGTTATCTTCCGATTTAGAAACAGACTTATCAAATATTCACATTTCAATAAAACAGCCATATTTATTTGCGGAGCCTATTAATTGTTAAGAAAAATATTCAATATAATGAAAAGATTCCACGATGATATCCTATGAAACATATCAAAGCTCAATGGCCTAAACAGGTTTGTAGCATAATGAATCATTATTTTTATGAAGATTAAAGATTTTAATAAAAAACAATCAAATGGAACCTAACAACAATCAGAAAACTTGTGTTCCAGGGTTTTTTCCACTATAGTGAGATGAATTTAGTAAAAGGATATATCTGCAATCGTTGGGAAATAGATGACTAGTGCACAATTAAAATACTTTTCATTCAGTTTCACAATTACAGATATTACTCGTGAACGAATCAAACTAGGACTAACCCTCTCTAAGACAAACTGTTGAGGTATGTCAATAATCACAAAGACAATATCAACCGAGGATTACCGTTGACAGCTGATTAATATTCATCACATTTAATCTAATAACAAGTCACTTAAACTGGTGATCATATTGCAAATTCATCGATAACATTTGATCAGTGCTAAATATAAAACGAACGAGACAAATACAACTTCTACCAACTAATAAATTAGGGTAGTTATCAGTATAGGGTTGTGGTTCAGTAGATTAAGCGCTCATGCGCAAGACTGAAGGCCCTGGGTTCGAATTCCGCAAGCGGATTCGTGGATGCACACTTCTCTGGAGTCTCACCATA